ATAAGTGAGTATATGTTATGTATCCTAGTGTGATGGGGATTGGGGTATATTATAAACACTCTTGTGAATGGTATGGGACATTCATTGAAGTGTGACACTTTGGAGAATGGTATGGGACATTTTTCAAATGTGTTATCAAATCGAGATCTTACTCAACTAGGAGAGTTGACCAGGTTCGGTATGCAACAAGTCCGGAGAAGGACTAGGGTTGGCTTACTCGAACGAGTCCAAAAGGGGTCTAGTCAGGATGGACTATGATCTGGTTGTGGTCCGCCTTGAGAATCACGAGGTGATGTTAGGCATGGACTAGCTTGGCAGGAATTGGGCCATCTTGGACTGTCACCAAGGAAGTGTGTTGTTCATGGGTGGGTGTGGACCCCCGATCAGATACCAAGGTATTAATCCAACCTCTGGATGCTTAGTGATATCAGCAATCCATGCGGAAAGGATGCTTAAGAAGGGTTGTGAGGCCTATGTAGCCACAATCGCCACTAAGGAGGTCGTTGGAGGTGGTGACCCGGACGGGATTCCCCTGGTTTGCGAGTTTCAGGACGTGTTTTGGGCGCTACAAGGCATTCCCCTTGGTAGGGCTGACCCGTTCATAGCAGAACTGGAACAAGGGACGGCCCCAATATCCAAAAGTCCCTATCATATGGCTCCTGCCAAGATGGCCGAACTGAAGTCGATCAAGTTCAATGAGGGATGAGGATCGCATTACAACTAAGTCTGAGATTGACCTAGGGTTGGAATAAAGTCGATTAAGTCCAGTAAGGGATAAGGATAGCAGTACGACCTACTCGGAGATGGACTTATGATCGGGGGTGTAAAGGTCAAGTCCTTGAGTGGACCAGGAACGGAATATGATCGAGTCCAGGGAATGACCAGGATCGAATTATGACAAAGTCCAGTGAAGAACATAAGTCAATTATGAGGCGGTTAAGTCTAGTATGGACTAAGATCGAAATATGATCAGATGGACCACGTGATGAGATTTTTTTGGGTTAAATCTCTATCAAGCGGGGGAGACTTTTTTATATAGTGATCAAAGATGTGATCAGTGAAAACGAGCAAGAAGAGAGATGTAATGAATTGGTTAGAAAGAACCAATCCAGCATCCTCCATGTTCCGAATGCAAAGAGTTTGGTTGGAACCTTTGTCACGAGACAAGAGGTCAACACCACTGGATTCGAGGACGGATCCATCACAAGTGGGGGAGACTTATCATGTCCCAGATTCTAGGTAGGGTCGCCGGGATGGACCATGGCGCGAGGAGACGCACCAGTCAGGTGTATGACCTAAATACAAGCATATCATGGTCTAGAATTGTTTTCGAAGGCTCCATAAATTTTTCTGAAGAGTTTAGAATTTTTTCTTAAGTGCTCTGATTTTTTTCCGAAGAGTCCAGAATTGTTTCTGAAGGCTTCAAATTTTTTTGTGAAGGGTCCAAAATGTTTTCTGAAGGGTCCGGAATTTTTTCTGAAGGTTCCAATTTTTTTTCTAAAAAATTCAGAATTTTTTTTGAAGGGTTCAGAATTTTTCTAAAGGATAGAAAATTGTTTTTGAAGGGTTCATAATTTTTTCTGAAAGAGTCAGAATTTTTGCTAAAGGATTCATAACTTTTTCTAAAGGATTCTAAATTTTTTCTAAGGGGTTCAAAAAATTTTCTGAAGGATTCAGAATTTTTTCTGAACGCTGCAGAATTTTTGTCTGTAGGGTTCAAAATTTTTTTCTGAAGGCTCCAAATTTTTTTTTGAATGGCCCAAAATTTTGTCTGAAACGTCCAATTTTTTTTTTCTAAAGGCTTCATATTTTTTTTGTGTTTCTTAAAGGTTCATAACTTTTTCTGAAGGATTTAGAATTGTTTCTAAAGGGTTGTGAATTATTTTTGAAGGATTCAGAATTTTTTCTCATAGATTCAGAATTGTTTCTGAATGGTTCAGAATATTTTTTGAAGGGTTAAATTTTTTTCTAAAGGGTTCAAAATTGTTTCTGAATGCTCCAGATTTTTTTCTAAACGGTCCATAAGTTTTTCTAAAAGGTCCAAAAAAATTTCTGAAGGATTTATATTTTTTTCTGAAGGGTAATTTATTATGTGTTTTTTTAAGGTTCATAATTTTTTCTGAAAGATTTAGAATTGTTTCTGAAGGGTTGTGAATTATTTCTGAAGGGTTTCGAATTGTTTTTTAATGATTCAGAATTGTTTCTAAGGGAATCAGAATTATTCTGAATGGTTCAAAACAATTTCTGAAAGGTTCAGAATTTTTTCTAAGGGGTTCAGAATTTTTTCTGAAAGATTCATATATAAAAATAAATGCTGAACTAACAAATTATGAAAAATATAAATTAAAATGAAGTTAAAAATGTCTTCTAAAATAACAATAGTTATTAAATTTTTGTATAACAGTTTTTAAAATTAAAAAAATATTCATAATAACAAAAATATAAGATAAAAAAGATTTCCCATATCTGAAAACTTTTATTATATTTTAGATTTTTATTAATATAATTAATGTAATTAGCTTCGTGTAGTTAATTGAATTTTATTAAATTTTATATTTTCCAATTGATTCTTATGCTGCCACGTAAGGTAAATTGACATCTAAGAAAAGTTCATTCGTGCTCTTTTCGTGGATCTATTTCATCTTATGTCTTTCATCGCCTTAAAATGTTGATTTTCGTAATTTAATAATTTATGTTAAGTAAAAATTTATCTTTTCATTTTATCAAATTAAAAACCCATACTTTAACCATTTTTGGCAAATATATGTGCTAATATTTAGTTATTTAATAATATTATGGAAGTCTAATTTTTCTTATTTTATTCTATAAAACTATTATTATTATTAACTTAATATATTTAGTAATTATTTTAAATAGTAAACTAAGAAAATAAAATAGTCTACTCATAAACTGAAATATTTTCATCCTCTATATATTAATTGAGAATCATTTAAAAAGTTGTAACTTTAAATTTGTATTAATTAAAACTGAACCTTGCTTAGATGTCAATTTGCCTTACGTGGCAGCATAAGAATCAATTGAAAAATTAGTAAGTCCAAAATCTAATTGCCAGGAAAACTTATATCAACCCAAACATAATATATATGATAAATTTAGTAAAATGTTATTCTCCATTCTTTCCTTACATAAAAAGTACAGAATTAACAAATATATGACAATTAATGATTTTGAATAATAAAGATTTGATATAATTTTTGTAAAATTTTATATACTTACGAGAATTTAAATAATTTCATTAAGCATATAATAAAAAAAGTTTAGATTTTTTCTTATATGCTATATTTTGAATTTTTTAAACGATTATAAATTACTAATACTGTTAAAAATCCACATTGAAACTTTTGATCAACGGTTTAACTTTTTTATTATAACAAGATACAAATAATCATAAAATTATATAAATATAAAATCTCATTCAATATTGTATAAATTAAAATATATCACCTAAATATTAATTTAGAAAAATTTAAAAAATTGTAACCATAAGTTAGTAATAATTACAAAAGAGTCTTGCTGAATTGTCACTTAATTAAGATGCCAATTTACCTTACGTAACAGTTTTAGAATCGATTGAAAAACATTTTGGTCCAAAATTGAGTAGGAGATTCGCTAGGGACATAATATAAACCTCTAATTAGAAGGCAACTTTCAATTTATTAGTGTTAATATCAACTATCAAGTATCTTGCGTATATATTTCGTGTCCAAATCTATGGTTTCGTCTTATAGATAGTCATAACTCAATTCTAAAATTTAGGAGATGTTAATATGAAAGTTTATATGTTATTTAGTATTATTCATTTACAGAAACTAAACCAAACAACAAATATTACGTTTTTAATTCATTCTAATAAATAAGTTTTGCCATCAAAAACTAAACTCGCATACATATTATTTTTTTTAAATGAATTTAACATTGAGTATGAAGTTTTGCTTTGTGCAGCGAATACTCTATAGCTCTGCGATTTCGGTTTTGAAAACCAAAATCGAACCAAATTCTCGGTTAACCGAAATTTTGAAAATTAATTTCGAAATTTTTTTTTTTAATTTTGTTTTCCAAATTTTTATCCAAAATAACCGATTTTTGTTTTTGGTTTTCGGTTAGAATTGGTATAGTTTTCTTAAAAACTCGAATATTTTGGGTAAGTTCAGTTATTTTGGTTAAATTTGATTAATTTGGCTATTTTGGTTTTGTTATTTTTTGGTATTTTCAATTTTATATTTTTCTTAAAAAATCAAAAACCGAACAAAACCAAAAAAAAACAAACAATTTTTCAAAAATTTACCCAACTAAACCAAAATCATAACCGAACTGAAAATAAAAAATAATTAGATCAGATTGGACAAAAACCACAGAATTGCTACATAATCATACTATATATGAACTACTTACTATTATATATATTCATAACATTTACTCCGCGTAATGCGCCGATCTTATTGTAGTGTTATATTAAGTCGATATCTAATTATAAAATAAAATAAAATTCCTAAAATATAATAAAATATAAATATTATTGTTTTTTGTTATAAAAATGAGTAAACCAAAAACTGTCGGTATTTAAACCAAACCCAAATAAATATGGTTTTAATATGGTATCTATTTTTTATAAACTGAAAATACCGAAAACCCAAACAAAAAATGAACCGAAATGATATCTGGATTATATACCCCTTAACTGCATAAGTTTTAAATAAGGTAATGACATGGCTATGTAAATACTTACATAATAGAATGAGATCTTACATACTTACTATACTTACATAATAGTATAGATCAGAAATTCATAATGTATTAATGGTATCTCACGATAATTTACTAACATTTACATGCTTCTCAGTAAAATAATGTACCATCATAAGTCTTAGGCCCACCGGCCCTGAGGAATTAGAAATGGGCCTACAAAGAACAAACGCCGAAAAGTTTGGCACTATAAAGTATAAACAACTGAAATCTCTCGGCGTCAGATTGAACACTATCTCCACCATTGAGACCGCCGCATAGGGCGTCTCCTCCCCAATCCCAATTAACCAAACAACCCTTCTTCCGCCGGAATCTATCGTTTCCGATTGTCTGGGTACGCTCGATCTCTTAGCTATTTGATCTCTTTTTCTTCTGAATCCGTTACCCGTTTCTCGATCTTTGCTCTGAGTTTTATGTTATTCTGTATTCATCATTTTATCGGTTAAGATCTCGTCGTTCTGCACACTGATACTTGTTTTGCAATGCTGTCGGTGAGAACCTCGAAAGTTGTGGTTTTTCTCCCGCCGATAAAGCTCTGCTGGCATATCAGATGGGGTTGGGTTTTGGTAGGATGGTGTGTAGGAAAAGGTAAGGATACTTCATTTATCAATAAGTCATTTAGAATCATGTCTATCAGTTTGTGGTAGAGTAAATGCATTCTTTGACTTCTTGAAACATGATAAACTTTCATTGTTGTGATATTTAGTCAAAGATGCTAACCTCTTAGATTGTGTTTCTTCGTTTTAGTATTGTTTTCATAGGTCAGGTTGTGCAAATATTCTGACACTGCAAATTATTGAATCATTTCAGAAAGACATTACAGTTGTAACTTTGTATAGTACTGTTGATTGCTCTGGAAGAGTTTTGTGAAGTGTATTCTCAATTTTATATCTTCATATACCTGATCATATTTTGTGTGGTTTGTTTCATTCAGCAGATGGGGAGAGTTAATGCAGATGGTCTCCGTTATCGGTGTGGAGAACGCCCAAACGCTCTTAAGAATATTAAAAAGGCTATAAGCAAAGAAAACCAGAAAAAGTCAAGTAAGAAGGCAGTGAAAGGAAAAGCTTGGAAGGGTGTAACATGCCCTGTCTGTCTTGAGATCCCTCACCACTCGGTTGTCCTCCTTTGCTCATCTTACCATAAAGGTTGTCGTCCGTACATGTGTGCCACAGGAAACCGGTTCTCAAATTGTCTAGAGCAGTACAAAAAAGCGTATGCTAAGGATGCCAAAAGCGGTAAACCTGCAGAGCTATTGTGCCCGCTTTGTCGGGGCCAGGTGAAAGGTTGGACTGTGGTGAAAGATGCGCGAAAGTATCTGAATTCGAAGAAAAGGGCTTGCATGAAAGACGAATGTTTGTTTTCCGGAAGCTACAGACAGCTCAAGAAACATGTTAAGGAGGTTCACCCGAGAGCTAAACCAAGAGCCATTGATCCTGTGATGGAGGAGAAATGGAAGAAGTTTGAAGTTGAGAGGGAGAGGAGTGATGTAATTAGCACAGTGATGTCGTCAACACCCGGAGCTATGGTTTTCGGAGACTATGTTATTGAGCCTTACAACGATGATTATGATGATGATGATGACCTGGATTCGGATGATTCTTCGGAAGATGGGTACTTGGATCTGGGATCGCTAGGAGCCTTTGGAATAAGCCGTCTTCAACCGCGTTCTGCTACAGCCATGACGAGCAGGGGACGTCCCAATTACTTGATGAGCCACAACCGATACCAACGCAGGGGTGGGATCAGAAGGCGGTAAATGCAAGATTGATGATTTGATGTTTGAAAGGTAGGACCAAAAATAAAAGATTTGAGCTTTATGAAGGGTTGGCGTTTTTAGCAGTTTTGGGTTCCCGGTTTGAAGATTGAGAGTAGTGTTGTTCCCTCAACCTTTGGTTTTATAGAACCTTTCCTTTGCTTGCTTTCATTTGAAAAATATCTGTAGTGGCTTGTGTCTCTAGCACTTTCATTTTCTTAACAATTGGATTTAAAAATAGAAAAATTCTTTAGGATATCACTTGAAAGGTTTTTCTATCATTAATATAGCATCGATCAAAATGACTAGTGTTTTATTAAAAAGATAAACCATCTTTACCGGCACTTTATACTTAGTGATGATATTATGAGCTGAATGATAAGCTGAATGATAAGCTGACAAGATCATGCATGTACCGCCCAACCCTGATTCCATCTTTCAGTTTCAGCCACTACTCATAGATAAAAACATTTTCTTAATAAGACCAGGATCAAGGAGACGTGATGAAATGATATTAAAGATGCTTCCTGCAACAATTTTGAGTATTCAATACATCAAATTTCTAGTGCTTCACAGAGAGGTCTTCTGCTGACCTGACCCATGCTATGCCTAACGGGAAAACAAAAAAAAAATGAAAACTACAACTTGCTTCTTCTTGATGAAAATTTTTCAACTTTTGGCTGTGCTAGTTCCTCCAGCAGCCGTGTTAACTTGTTTCGAGAGATAGGCTTCATAGATTTCAACGATAAGACGAGGCTCCTTTTCCACAAGCTCTATGTATTCCTCTCTTTTGGTAACCTTCTCCATGTTTTCTATGATCTGCAACAATGCAGCATCACGCACATGTTTTGCGTTGTGCTGGTGGGCAAAGGCATAGGTCATGAGAGAGTTGTCCGGATTGAGTTTGGTTACCAAAAACTTCTCACAGTAACTCTTGAGATGTTTCACTTGGTATTTCTCTGCCATGACCAAAAGATCACATGCCATTATCTCATCAAGACATGCTTCAGCTGTGTAGAGATAATAGACGAAGGTTCGAAGAGTGTCATAAGATATGTCGCTTATCTTAATTGTGCCGCTACGGCTCTCTTCCATTTCATTCTCAAGCATTGCTCTGAAGACTGGGGAACGACTCACCTGGCAGCAATATTCACCTTTTGTTTAGTACGAAAGTCGCCACTATCAAAGGGTGTCTTGCTTAACACTCAAAGTTCTCATTGTATACATGTGAAAGACCATTAGACAATTAAACCCAAAACGAGCACACAAGCCAAAATTCCAGTTTTTTTGCCATGCTTCGTGGAAAGATGGAGATTGAATTTCAACAAAAGGGATAAAGTCAGCAAGAAGATAGGTAAGAAATACGAAAGACTTAGAAGAGATCATCACAGAAAGCACATTTGCAGAAAGAAGAAAAAAGCTCTTCACAAACATAGTTCCTGCACTCTATCATATGATTGCAACTTCTATTTCTTCCTAAAACTCATGGTTAAGAGTTGACTAAATTCATATGTGAACATCAAACAGATAAAAATAGACAATTCTGGAAATTTTTCAACTGATTATAAACTAACTATTCCAGTTTTTCTTAAGCATTGGTATCCTGAAGTGCCTCAGATTGAAGAACAATCAACACAGACAAAAGTAGAACATTTGGAAAAGATAACTATTAAACTAAAGGGAAAACAATGGTCTTGCTAAAGCAGAATTCCTCTATCAGTAAAAACCTACTAACACTATACATAGCAATATAGGCTTTCAACTTAAATCTGATCCTAAAATGCACACACACTCTAAGTTGACTTACAAGAATGTCTTCTCCATTAAAAACAATCAAACTGAACATTTGGTAGGAAAACAACAATCTGACACAAACTAAGTCCAGAGAGCAAACCAGAACGGCTTTATGAGCAGGAACAGGAGGTGAACCGGCGGAGTCATCGGAGGCAATGAGGACAAGATCAGTGAAGGACCTGGAGGAGCTGTTACCATGGTCGAGAGAAGATGATAAGCGAAGGAAAGTAACTTTGGCTTTAAGGTCTTCGATCTCGCGTTTGAGCTCTTCCTCAGTCTCGCCGGCCTCTACGTAGCATTCCTTGCAGGTGCCTGCGTCGCGAGGGAGATACTCCTCCCGGCAAGAGATGCACCGCATCGCCGTGTCGGAATCCGATTCGGATCCGCTCTCGCTGCTCTCCGATTCGATGACGCACCGGTGGTGTCTCCTCATCTTTCACGACGGCGCTTCCTTCTCTTTCGATTTTAGATTCTCTCTCTCTCTCTCTCTCTCTCTGAGTTATAAAAACCATTCAACTAAACAAAAACCACTTATTCAATTTCGTAACATATTTTAAATACTAAATAACTATCAAATAACAAATGTTCTTTTTTTTTCTGTGCTCCTAGAGTATGATTAGTGGGAGATTTTTTTTATGGATGAAGTTTTTAGCCGGATTAAGAGATGGTTTTTTGATTCCGCTAAGAATCCACTCCTAAAATTCCTCCAATAATCATGCTCTAAGAGGTCAAACAAGAATAGATTAAGTATCATAGTAAAGTAGATGTGACAATTAGCTCCAAAACTTGACCGTTTTCCCCTTTCATTCATATGCGCGTAAAGATGATGAGATCGTATGTGCGTGAAAATGAGGAGAATGATACATTTTCAACACAAGACTTAATTTGCTACTACTGTTTCATGTATGTGTCTTATAAAAGGTAAAACTATACTATGATATATATGATGTAGTATACGCACCAGAAAAAATAAAGATACTATCAATATAGGTGTTTATATAGCTCCAAGATTTATTTCAACGCAATAAGATAAATAGTATAAAAGTGTAAAACAGAAAAACGTGATAGGAGACAAATGTATGATACTAAAACATATAAAGGCAATGAGAGCGCAAAAGGTATTATACTATATGTGATATAGTATAGTTCACCGACGCCGCAAAAAAAATAAAGTTTAGTTGCAGCAGACATAACATAAGAGCCAAGCGTCTGGGTACAAATGCAAGAGGACAACAATGATTCGTGTAGGAACAAATAGTCATCCACCTTGGTGGATGTGACTATAGTGGGTACGTATATATACTTACTAACCGTGTATTAGAACGTCATACATAGTATACTAGTATATATTGTGCATAGTATAGTATCAAATCGATAGACCTTTCACTTCTATGTATGTCCACGATGCATAACCAAATTGGAAGGGGAGAGAGTAAAATTTTAGGAAGGCACGAAGTAGAATTTCTTGACAATGATGACTTTTTGGTAAATTGGAAGATGAGGAGGACAAAGAGAAGGAGGAAGGGGATGATAAGAAGGATACGTAAATGATAAATGAGACAGAGAGAGAAATTATAAAGCTATATTTTTATACTATGTTTTTCAAATAAAATAAAACATACCAAAATAGTTTATTCCAATGTGAATTGTTCTTATTCAAAGGTGAATGATAAGAATCATTAGACTGAGAAAGAGTCTGATTTGTGGAGAAGCTAGTGTCATTGTCACTAGTGACATTGTTAGTATAGTTAAAGGAGGAGTAAAAGAAACTACCATAAAAATGATGGAGAATAAAATACATAATATATGTGATAATTTAATAGAATAGTACAATATTAACATTGTTCATCTTCTCCAAATCTGAATCAAATGTTGATATTACAATTTTCCAATATCAATTGCACTAGTCAATCCAAGCAAATGGAAAACACCTAAATCTTGAAACATAATAAGGACACTTGTTTATAATTCACACCATAACTACAGATAAAATCTAATGAATTGTAAGGAAAAATTTACTATCTTCTAGTCCATCAATCTTGTCTTCCTTGTCATTGAATCGGAGGGACCTAAAGTATCTTCACATCCAGTGGCTTTAGATCCTCACAACTAGTTCTAAAAAATATTCTCATTGCACTTCCCTCGTAAATCCCATATAGGTCATCCCCTGTTGTAGTCGTAACACCTCAGTCAACAACAAAAACGTCAGTATGCATTTAACATATATCCTGAACCAAATTATGAAAACCATACTAAAACTCTTTTGGAAACTTGGTCATACCATACTAATTATATTCTAAATAATATAGTACACAATTGAGCGAATTTTAACTACTAACAATGTATATATATGCACCAAGTATATCTAGTAAATTAAAATAGTAATGTGTCTCATATGAGATGGTATATATAAGTAAATGGCACAAAAATACAAGTACACACGTTTACTATACTACTTACAGTATAGAACTACCAGTTTTCACACCCCTCCATTGTACAAGTTTCCATATATGATAGTCAAAGAATTGACCCTTACACCATTAGCATGCACGCACAACTACCCATAAATAGGTGAACTTTTCTAATACAACTGGTTAACTATCTATACTATTACATTTTTTCACATAGTATAGTCTTATCAGTTACAGTCTTCATCACTTTTTTCCATCCCAAACTTATGCTGGGCACCACACAAATAGCACACAAACACAGAGGTGGACATTTCGCATTCCAAGGACCTAAATATAAATTTCCTAACCGAATTTAGAAAATTCAAATTTGAGTCACATTACTTTTTCGTCGCCTCGCCAGTAACCCCTTCAACTGGTTCTGCAACAGAGATTGAGACTCTGATGTAAGTAACATATAAACAGGTTGTGATGGTGTCTCAACTGATTCTAGGTCCCTTACATTATTCAATCAAATCAGACATACCTTGATTAGTTGTGTTTTCGCCAGAATCTATCCGCCGGCATCAATCCCCCGTGAAATTGAAACATCCTCCGGTAACCCTAATTGTGCTTATCAATGTTCTTCAACTCCGACTCACAATCGCTCTCTCCAAATCGATCTTCCTCGGCCACTGCAAAAGATTTCTAGGTGAAAAAGGACTTTTTCATTTCCAGAGTTAAGAAAATATGAGACCTCGTCCTTTTCACGTGCAGATAAGGGTATTTGTGCCATTATCCATAATAATATATAACATATCGTAGCCATTTCTCTCTTATGTGTATATACTTAATTCATTTTTTATGTACATCTTGCCAAATTTCTAACTAGGTATCCATATCGGAAAATAATTACCAACATAAAATAATTCTCTATGGAATGCACATGTTGTTTTCGCTAGAGAATAGGATACTCAGTTTTGTGTCCATGGTTTCAGAAAATCTTGAAATCCTAGAGTATTTCTTTAATCAATGCTAATTCTTTCAATTTTGTTGATAGAGTCGGTTATTCCATCAGGTCTTTAATCATTGAGATAAAGTTCTTGGAATACATCCTAAAGTATAAGCATTTTGTGAAACCTAGTATGCTCTCTATAATCCAAATTAGTACGTCTAGTTCCATATGCAAATGCGAGAATCATACATTTATTTCACATCCAAGTAGCTGCTCCGTTCCCCTCTCATCAAACCAAACATAACCATATCCAATATAAGGAGATTCAGTGAGACAAGATTCTATCAACCAAATATCAACCAAACAGATATTATGTAAACATAAGGCTATAAAGTTTCCTTATATGTTGTTGTGGATTAGCATATGGAAGGATCTTTGCATTAGCCCAAACCATGCTCAACGTTCATTCTCAGTATGTCTTACATACCAAATTATCCATAGATAAGATTTTATCCAACTTCAGGTCTTATATATCATGCGTCCTCCAGAACAAATAATCCAAATTGGAGTATACACTAGTTACCGGAATTATAAATATACAAGAAGGAGTTGAAGAGATGGCCCATGCAACACCCCTGATCTGGTTAAGCCGTGCAACAATTAAACAAGAATATGGATGACCAACCACTTAAACTCAAACCATATCAAAGATGTGACATACATGTACTTAAGCATCTAAGGGAGGTTTTCAAATCAAATCCAGACACCCATGTTGTGTTTAATCACACATTTCCTAATGGAGATAGCTCAACGCTTTTCAATACAAGATACATTCAATAGTTAATTCATCTCGGACCAAGACCAAGTATCATACAAAACCCAAGAATTTCATAAACTCGATTTATTCATATAGAATTAGGTTTCACATGTAATCGAAAGATACATATTGATCCAGATGGGGGCTCAAAGATCACAATATTTCCATACATACTAAAAATTTACTTGAATTCGCAAAAAAAAACACAGCACTAATTGAGCCTAATCTAAGCTCCTCCAGTCCGAGGGGACACCTAATGGTACCTTCAGAATAAGCAGATTTGTGAGCAATTAATTTTTTTAATGAGTTGGGTTCCCAATAGCCGAATGATCAATTCCCTTCCAAACCCAAAATAACAATCTTCTCACAAGACAATCTCAACATATACAACGACCATGTATCTAACTGATACTCATGTATATTATATGCATATACTTTACTTCCATCACTTTCACCTGGAGGCCTCTTTTGTCATTTGACATTGCCCATCCCATTTAACCCAACACACTCAAACAGCTTATAGTCACAAAGGATATATGACCAATGATCTACACATATCTGACTGCCTCTAATAACAAGAGGTGACCATGGGCAGAAGCGAAAGAAGCAGGTGCTTGCGGCCGCCACTTAATTAGTAATTATACCGGCCATTTACTAATGCAATCTATTTGATAGCTCAGATGGTAATGCTACACATTAATGTAGAAGATGGGGAGTTTGACTCACATGGATGAATTTTTTTAAAAAAAAAAAATTATACCTATAAAAAATTAATATAACCAAGCTACATTTTTAGATTTGCTTCCAGCCCAATAATTATAAGGACCGAGTCTGCTAAGAATTAGCACACCCAAAACGTGCATCATTCATGCGCGGCATGGCTCTAAGCTGTAATCACATCCCTTCGTGCTTCCATACCGATGGGTTGTCAATGACCATAATAACACTTTCCAAGCGCACACCTCCATAATTCATAGTAATAGCATAATCTAATAGCAAATGATAATACTCTTGCATATCACAATAATTTAACATTATTATTATCAAGGCCTAACAACTAACAATCAATCATGCATATCAATCACAACAATCAATATCATTCACGATCATTAGTATAAATCAAGACCACCATTATCACTTATAAACATGATCATCATATCTAATAATGGTAGTATTTTATAGCTTCACATAACAATACTCCTGCTCTATTTGGATCACGAACATCTATCTCTCTGTAACATGGAACTGTAGAATATATGGTGAAGTGTTATACATGAATGTAACACTTATTATCTGGTCAGGGTTAACTTGATTGACAATGCAACAAACAAACAAGAACATGCACAATCAATCACCCTAACATGGCCCAGACCACAAATGCTACTCTTATACACATTCTCCTATTCTAGACATGCTCTCCCTTCTGCTATGTTCAACATACTGATACTGCTTAATCTTGTCCTTCTCAATTCTTTTCTGAACGGTTCCAATCTTTTGGTTTTCTCCTTTAGCAAACCTAGTCTCATTGTGTTTTTCCAAATTCTGTCCAACAAACCAGGGTTTAACATGATCTTCCATTTCTGGTTAATAAACCAGTTAAGCACTCTTGATAGGGCAGCTTGATTCTTCTGATATCATCATATCCCAAGATATCTACATTGTCATCTTTTATTGCTCATGTCTATTCATTTCCTCCCATCAATCCATCCATCCATCCATCTATTCATCCATCCATCCATCCATCCATCCATCCATCTTTAATGTTAACTTTCTTTTTCCTTCTTATCAATCCAACTTGATTCACGACATCTCCCATGTTCCTTCTCCTACGTAACTTGTTAATAATCTTATGCTGAACACTTTTCTCGTACCATCCTTCCATTGAATAAGATTGCATGCCCTTAAAGATTTTACAATCTTTGTTCCCTCAAGGTTGTTATGAGAAAATTCATTTGTAATATTGTCTTTCTTATGCTTACTCATAACTTGGCTTATCTCAAATGTCTCCATTCACCATCGCTTTAGTCTGAATATGAATATGTGATATACTCATATAGCCTACTTTGGTCTGATATCATCTCATTACCTTCTTCTTGCTTCTAGTACCAATACTATGTAACTTGATCACGTCTCTTTTTTCAACATCTTTACGTTAGCACTAGTCTCTTGTCAGATTAAGTTTTCCATCCCTTATATATTTACAACCATTGTACTTCAAAGTCATATTCTTTAGTGCCTAAGATATCTCGTTCTAATGGCTTAATAAAAAATGTTCTACTCCATCTAACTTTGTCCACCACTAACATAATCTTGATATGGTTAGATATTGTAGTTATTGTCTCCCTCTGGCCGAATCTTTGTTCCATTCTTCCTCTTCCTTTGATAATTCTTTGTTTTTCATCTTCTCGGGATTACTTCTTCTTCCTTTGAATTTGCCATCCAAACTCTTCAAAGTAATGAGACAAATCCAGTAGTTTCCTCTCTATCATTTGTATTTTCATTTCGACTTAAGTTAATCCATGACTGATGCTAACTGATATGGTTTTAACTCCTATGTTCTTATTCCGCTCAAGAGTTATGAATAAGAATCATTCCAGAATGAAAAAACCTCCCACAAAGTCTTGTCACACCTTAACACCTCCTTACTTGGAACTCTTATTAGTATAAGTTTCCACTTTATTTTTTTTACTTCACTAAGTTTTTTCTTAGTTGCTTTTTTTATATAATTTGGCTCCATCATCTCCAAGGTTTTCTCCTCATTCATCATAATAATTTGATCTTTAGGTTTTCTCCTCACTCATCATAATAATTTGATCTTTGTTTGACTCTTCTCCAAACATAATCATGATAAGCCATCATTCTCATTATCCCTTTACTTTCCAACAACATATGAGCTTCAAACGCTATTATATCTTTCCAATTAACCATGTCATTTGTTTTCACTGCATCTCCAGAATACTTTTTTTGCGTTGACAATTGTCTTCTCCTTCACTAACATGTGAATCAATCGAACATATCAAAACTTGACATTTCATGCTTTCATAGTTGTGGTCTGCACATCTTTCCACTTACAGAACAATACACTTGCATCTCATTCATCACTGGTAAGCAAAATGAAGGTAGACGTTGTGAAAACCCTTAAAACAATCCTCTCACCCTTGATAAGATCCATCCACAACCAAAACTGAATTGGTTCTATACTTGGGTTATTATTCTTCTCTTATCTAACTATGACTCTCATAAAATTGTATTTCCAACCAACTAGGAAGTCATCTTTACAAACCCCATAATACTTTCAATCTACATGACACTATTTAATTTTCGGGTTTTCCAAGGAACGCAAACCTTCACTAATGTTAAGGTTCTCTCATCAATCACTGATGTTTCAGTGGCATACCGGAGACAAAAAAAACATGGTTGGATTGCACCACCCGTAGTGTTATCAATCAACATTCAATTCTATCTTTATAAAAAATCATCATAATCATTTCTATTAAGTAAACTCAACTTAAATGCAATGAATCACCCAGTGAGTTCAAACTCCATACTTACATGTAATGGGACCTTTAAAAGACCTAGAAAGTCTAGAATAATCTATATCTAAGGCATACACACGTCACTCTGTTTCTTGTCTCTTGGGGGTCGGTCTGATCGTGTTCTGATCTATGTGTGGCTGAGTGATGACTGACTCATGCATTTGGTACACTCAAGCGCTTGAAGTCGCATAATGCCATGGATCACCACACATATAAAAATTGAGGAAAAAGCAGTCTAACCTCGTTCTTTGCCTCATATACCTTGTCATTTGTCTTATATATCGCTTCCTCTCTTGTTAATTGTCTATGGTTAAAGGGTCGTGATCCATATGACCCTTGACTATTTTCCTCCAAGAGCTTAGTCTTGTACTGGTATGAATGTATTGCTTGCTTGACATTTCTAACATGCTGCAATGGCTTCTTCTATGTTGATCGTTCAGAAAATAGTTCATTTAGGTTGTAGATATATGAGGCTTCCAAAATCTCAGGCAACAACACTTTAGGAACTTCTTTATCATAGATGTTTTATCATTATGCATGTAGTGTCCATACCTTCTTAATATGATGAACTCAGATACATAGTCTCTTTTATCCTATACCATTGCTTAATATTATGGAATTCATTTTCTATTTGGTCTCTGGCTTTGGGTAGATACTACTACCTTTGAAATTCTTATTAAACTTGACCAAGTAAAACTCATCCTTTTGTACTGTATCATTTGTCCCTTCCACCAATTGGATGCATCATTCAAAAGAGAGAACACTTCTATGTAGATATGGATTTAGTATTGAAAATGAGGGTTTTTAGGATGTGTATACGAGTGGATTATGGTCATATTATTTGTAGATTTTTTTTTTTGACAAAGGGCTTATATTATTTGTATAGTTTATAAGTTCAATCTTTATAAAACTCTTAGCTCTAAGAACATCTCCAATGGGGGATTATTACAGTGGGGTTCTTATATTCCACTAACAACCCTACCATAAGAACTTCTCATTAGAGATAGTCTAAACTAATAGAACAAGAGAACACTATACAAGATGAAAGAAATAAAAAAAAAACAACAACATTAAAAGTGATCGGCCTTGGAGAATTCCTCAAAATTGATGAGGTTCTTCAAGATCTAAATTTGGGTTTGAAAACGTGGAAATATGATATGCATCTTTGATCATCTATTACAATAAAACCTAAATGCTCTTGATCATTATATGTTGCAAATACTCAGGTACACATAACCTTTGTGGTCATGCGCCCTTGGCACATCTTCTGTTTCTTCTCGTTCCCTATATATCTTCTTTGCTTATCCTTTGTGTGCATCATTTATATTGACTGTTAGTTTCCCTGATTATTATAAAATCTAGCGAAGGGGATCACTAACATTATATCGACTGTTAGTTTTCTCACTCAGTAGTGGAAGTTTAAATGACTAAGTTTCTTAAGGTCAACTAACATTTGGCTTATACATGATTGTAATGGAAACTGAATGTTTATACTAACTCCCAGTCACAATTACAGGTTTATCTTACGCATATTTTTCAGCAATTCCCAAGAGAAGAGAATTTATCTCTTGAGGCTTGGAGAACATTACCATATGATCCGCATCTTTGATCTCCATTACTTCTTGTACAAGAAAATTGCTAATCATCCAATGCTGATAATCCTTTGGTATCAGATTATCCTCTCCGCAGATGATATAGATTCGTGTAACAGATCCATACCTTTCCTCACTAAAGCTTTTTGTCCCTGCCAGATTATTTGTAACTACCGGGTTTACCCATACCAACATTCTCGTCAATACAAAGTCCTAACATGCCACAAACAAAATTCAACAACTAGCAATTCAAATCAGGCTTGAAAGCAGCAAGTCATACCTCAAGCGGAGAGAGTTGATAGGCATATTTTCCATGGACTTTGGTCCCGCAAGAGAAAACTGTAGAGGACGATCAGGTCTCCTGTAGTATCCAAACACATTGTCCAACCATTCAATTTGTGAAGTACTGCTTCTGGACTGCTGCAGATTTCATTAAGATATCATAATCATTTGTAAAAGATCAGTACTGTGAAGTGATCAGTTTTACTTACATTTTCTAGAACATAAGCAGGTGGGTTTCTTATGTCCGGCATGAAAGATGTCACGAAAACAATTGCAGAAATCTTACGAGGGAAGATGTCAGCAGCCAGTGCAGCGCATATTCCTCCTATGCTATGAGCAACAAGAATCAGTTTCTCTTCTTCCGATCCAAGCAAGGTCAGAATATCAAGCAAAGATTTGGAGTAATCCATCAATGTCTGAATCTCCTCTAATCTGGTCATGTTTATACCCAAAGCAGCCAGATCCACTGCTGTCACACAGTGACCTGCAGCCTCCAACTGCGTTTTCACTTTGTACCAAGTCCATGCGCCGTGGCAAAGCCCATGGACGAGCACCAACCGCTTTTTGTTCTCCTTCTCTATTGCCTTCTTTTCTTTCAAGCCTCTTGGTTCAGCAACGCATATATAGATGGTTAGTTTCCGCATATTGTTTGTATACTAAAAAACCTTCTTCTGTATTCAAATTTTAATTAGTTTTTGTTTTGTATAAACTGACAAAGCTCTAGGTACCTATATATCTTTCTGCCCAATAGTATGAGAGAAAAAGGTAAAGCAGAGATTGTAAAGAAAAACAAAGTTGATAGTGCTTAGCACTAGCCCAAGACCGTAGTACGCGAGAGACCCAAAAGAAACAAGAGAACTTCTAAGTATGAAGAATAATATGGAAGAACTCTCAAAAGGATTTAGAGAACTTTGAGTAGACACTCTTTCTTTCTTTTAAGAAAATTTTCTTATTACTTTACTTGTTCAACTTCTTATGTTTTACAAATGAAAGGGTGAAGAGGTATTTATAGCCTCCTAAACTACCTTACAAATATCTAAATTATTCTACTATAACCTACTTACTTCTTAGATTTTTATTCTTATTCTCTAGATTTTTCTACTACAATATCTAAATATTATTCTACTTGAGGAGGTGATGATTTTTCTAGAAAGATTCTATAATTTTCTTAACTTTGGGTTTAGTCCAATAAGATTGTTGGAACCCATAATTAAGCAAAGCCCAAAATCAAGTTTAACTTCAATACTCCCCCTTAAACTTGATTTTGTCCACCATTCCGAGCTTTGAACGGAGTATCTCGAACTGACCTTTTGGTAGTGACTTAGTAAGGATATCAGCAACATTATCCTCGCTTAGAACCTCAAATGCTTCAATTGTTCCATCAAGCACCTTCTCTCTTATGAAATGATGTTCCAATTCAATATGGTTCGTTCTTCCATGGAACACTGGATTATTGGCCAACTTGATAGCACTTTGATTATCTCCATAGATGGTAACCAATTTATTGATTGGCTGGAACAAGTCTTCGAGGAGTCTACGAAGCCATATACATTCTTGAGCTGTGAGTGTTGAAGCTTTATACTCTGCTTCGGTAGTAGACAAGGACACTGTTGCTTGCTTCTTTCTGCACCATGAAATGTTTGTGTCTCCACATAAGAACACAAAGCCCGAAGTTTATTTCCGTTCATTTAATCTCCACCGAAGTCAGCATCTGTGAAACCATCAAGAGAAACCTTGGCATTATACTTGTACATTAGTCCCATGCCAAGAGTTGTTTTCACATACTTCAATATCTTCTTTGCTGCTTCTAGGTGTTGCTTCCTTGATCAACCGACTTACAAGACCAACCGCAAAGGCAATATCTGGTCTTGTAATGGTTAAGTATATAAGACTTCCAATAAGAGACCGATAAGGTCGAGGATTGGCTAACAAGGATCCTTCATCGCGTTTGAGCCTTATGTTAGTATCCAGTGGAGTAGAGCGTACCTTTCCTTCATGTACTCCAAGCTTGTCAACAATTCTTCTTGCATAACTTTGTTGACCGATAAATATTCCATCCTTTAGCCTTTCGACTTCTAGACCAAGAAAGTGATTCAGCTCGCCTAACTTCTTCATCTCAAACCTCACCGACATATCCTCTTGTAGACGAGCAATTTCATCCTCGTCATTTCCAGTAATTATCATATCATCCACGTAGAGGAGAACTACTACGTGAACTCTTCCACTTCTCTTAAAGAATAGGCTTGTATCAGCACTTGATGCCGTAAACCCGCAAAACTGAAGAAATTGAGCAAGCTTTCCATACCAAGCTCGTGGAGCTTGTTTTAATCCGTACAAGGCCTTCTTTAGCTTGCACACATGGTTAGGATGCTCTTGTGATTCAAAACCAGGTGGTTGCTCCATAAATATTTCCTTATCAAGCTCACCATAGAGAAAAGCATTCTGCACATCTAACTGCCATAATTTCCATCCAAAGCTTGCAGCTAAAGATAAGAGTGAACGTACCGTAGTCATCTTTGCTACTGGACTAAAGATCTCATCATAATCTTCTCCGTACTTCTAAGAGAAACCCCGAGCAAACAACCTTGCTTTTTATATATCAATGCTCCCATCCGCCTTGCGCTTTAGTCGATAAACCCATTTACAAGAAACTGGTTGAGCATCTTTGGGTTTTGGAACCAAACTCCAAGTTTCATTTTTTATGAGAGCATCAATCTTCTCATTCATTGCGGTCATCCATTCCTTAACTCCTTTTGCTTCTTCATAAGATAATGGTTCATCTTCATCTAGAAGAGCTGCAAAGTAACAAGAGTAAGTGGTGACGAACCTTTCATCTCTGAACTAAGCGGGTTTGACAATATTTCTTTTTGGTCATTGATTAGCGATAGAACCATGATTCTGCTCCTCTTCTTCATCTTGGTCAGCGCTCCCCCTTTCACCTTGAGTCTCCTTTTCAAGGTTTTCGTTCTCAGTTGGAACTTGAATAATTTGATCGTCAATCCTGGAGGAAGCTGAATCATCTTGCTCAGCTAAGACTTGAGGTGGTCCGTAGTACGATGAAACTTCGTCAAAGACAACATCACGAGACACTGTATATTTATGTGTCTCTGGATCCATACACCGCCAACCTTTCTGTTGTTCATCGTAACCGACAAAGATACACTTCTTTGCCTTTGCTTCCAACTTTGTTCTTTGAGAGTCAAACACATGGACGTAGCAGACTGATCCAAATATCCTGAGATGCTTCACCGTTGGCTTCTTCCCATAAATCACCTCATAAGGCGACTTCATGTTATTTGGACTAAGTGGCATTCGGTTGATGACGTAGGCTGCACATCTCATGCCTTCTGCCCATAAGGCCTTAGGCAAATTCTTATCATATAGCCAGCTTCTGCACGTCTCGGTTAGATGTCTAATTTTTCTCTCTGGTACTCCATTTTGTTGAGGTGTATACAGACATGTATATTCTCTCTTAATACCATTCTTTTGGCAAAAAGAGAGGAACTCCTTTGACATGAACTCTCCTCCATTATCCGTCCTTAGGGTCTTCAGCTTCCGACCAAACTCTCCTTCCACGGTAACCTTGAATTCTTGGGATCGTTGAAATACTTCTTATTTTTCCTTCACAAAATATACCCAAGTGTACCGTGAGAAATCATCTACGAACACCAACATGTAGCGAAACCCGGAATAAGAGGATGTTCTTGTTGGACCCATCAAATCACTATGGACCTTCTCCAATGGACCGCTGCATCTTGAGGCTGAATAATAAAATGGAAGTCTATGTGACTTTCCATATTGACAACCTTCACAATTTTTTCCTCCATCTTGAATCTCCAACTTTGGAAGTCCATGAACCAAGTCTTTATTCACCATAACCTTAAGCTTGGTCATATTTATGTGGCCAAGTCTTGCATGCCAGATGGAAGCATTGTCATTTTTACTCTTCTCCACATAAGCGTGTGATGCCTGATAAAACGTATAAATCTTTGACGCGTGCTCCAGTGTGAACAATATCCGCCTTTAATTCTTTAATATTCCTTAAGAACTTAACGTCTCTTGGGCCAAATAGAACATAGTTACCTGATTCAACCGCATTCACCACTGAAAGAAGATTTTTCCTTACTCCAGGGACATGGTACACATTCTTGAGGGTGATCGGTTCTTCATCATCTCCTTTAATGAAAACAGTCCCTTCCTTCTCAACTTGATGGATTGAATTATCGGCAGTAATAATAGATTCGTTCCCGTCATGACGTTGAAGACTAGAAAATAACTTATCATCTCCGGTAATATGATGGCTACAACCTGAGTCTACGATCCAGTCATTTCTCAAGTTCTTAGTTGTGGGTGTACCTGGATGTGTAGACTCCACTGTGAAACATTTTCCCCATTCTTCGTCTTCAGTATGAGTTTTTGACTCCACCATATTTGTTTCCTTCAACTTGACTCGACAGTCCCTTTTGAAATGCCCAAGCTTTCCACACCGGTAGCATTTGAACTTCTTCTTATCCATGGAAGATCTTTCACTTCCATCATTGTGTCTTGAACGTCCATCTTTGTTTTTCGCCTTGAAGCTTTGTTGTCTCCGAGCTACAAAGGCGTTTCCCGAGTCATCAGTGATTTTGACTCCTGACATTTGCATGGATAATGACTCTTGCAAAGCTAGCAAATTCTCAAACTCTTCCAAGGAAGGCTGTGTAGGCCATCCTTGAACCGAAGTCACAAATGGTGTATTCTCAGGCTGTAGACCTCGAATAATAGACCGCTTCAACCGTGCTTCAGAAATTGATTCCTCCGGATTTAAAGTATTAATCTCAGAGCATAGGTTCTTTACCTTAATATAAAACTCCGAGATTGAAGACTCCCCTTGCTTTGCATTCGCAAGCTCATTCTCCAATAATTGTAGCTTAGCCTCATTCTTCTTGTTGAACAGTTGCTCTAAAGCTTGCCAAATGGAACTAGCGGAAGTACACCTTGAGACATGCTCAAATATGCTTGAAGATATGGACCTCTTCAAAGCAAACTCCGCATTGGCATTCTTTCATGTCCACTCCTTTGTCACTTCTGGGGTTGCAGCATTTCCCCTTGGTGGTGATGTGCTATTACCACAGAAGACATCCCATAAGTCCTCACTCACCAAGTATGACTCAATGCATGACTTCCATAACCGGTAGTTAGATTGGTTTAAGATTTCCATTCCCTATCCAACAACACGACCCGTTGAATCCATACTTAGAACAAACCCGAGCTCTCTTTAAAATTCGATCTTGATGAGCACAAGATTAGCTTGGCTCTGATACCATATAAAGAAAAACAAAGTTGATAGTGCTTAGCACTAGCCCAAGACCATAGTACCCGAGAGACCCGAAAGAAACAAGAGAACTTCTAAGTATGAAGAATAATATGGAAGAACTCTCAAAAGGATTTAGAGAACTTTGAGTAGACACTCTTTCTTTCTTTTAAGAAAACTTTCTTATTACTTTACTTGTTCAACTTCTTATGTTTTACAAATGAAAGGGTGAAGAGGTATTTATAGCCTCCTAAACTACCTTACAAATATCTAAATTATTCTACTATAACCTCCTTACTTCTTAGATTTTTATTCTTATTCTCTAGATTTTTCTACTACAATATCTAGATA